CCCTCCTGATTGGAATCAATCTAGTTACCCCTGGCTGACCTCCAAGGATCAAGCTACCACACACGTCCCTTCGCCTCAGAGAGATGGGGGCTTGGCAAGAAGTTGAGGGATGGGGGGACCAGTTCTCTTCCCCGTCTTGAGCCATCTGATGTTCCACACAAGTTCTACCTAGGTGTCAGAATTCAGGGCCCAGATCCCAAAGCCTGACCCCAGAGCTTAGAGTTAGAATTCTAAGGCCGGACTCTTATCCAGGGGCTTGAGGCCAATGTCCTGAGCCCAGTGCCCAGAAGCTGGGGCCCCAAGGAGGACCTGACCAGACCCTAGTTCCTTCCTCCCAGGCTCCATAGCCAACTCCACCTTCTCTGCTATCTCCTGCCAGCATCCTCTTCAATGTGCCTGACTTGTCTATCAGGCACCCACCCCATGACCTCCATTCTAAATCAGCTCTCTGCAGCCAGGTGAGTGCCTCCCAGCTCTTACCTGTGAACGTCCACATGTGCCGAGACTCCCACTACACACACGGCGTGGGTAGGCATCTTCAGGGACAGCTGCACAGCTCTCTTTGGGGCCATCCTGTCACCTGGCTCCCAGCCTCCTAAAACAGCTCCGGCTCCCCAGCTCCCGTCCTGGGCACTTCTTCACCAGGAAGAAGTGTGAGTTCTGACGGGTTGGTGCCTCCTCCTCCCTTTTAATTTCACCCTGCGACCTGATTAGCTTGCCTGAGCCTGGTCCCCACCTCCTGGCTCCACACCCTCCTCATTCAGGGCTGTCAATCCAGGAGGTCAGTGTGCCCATGGCCTCTCTGGGAGATGGGGAAGGGGAGCTTCAGCTAGGGGCCCCGGGTGGAGCAGGGCTCAGCTGCCAACAGGAGACCCTCCAGAGCTCCCCAGCAGCCCCGTCCTCCCCTCCAAAGACTCCTTGTACCTGAACCCCTATTGCAATGATGTCAGTGTTTCTGAGGACTGACTATGTGCGGGCTCTGCCTCTAACCACCTGTGATCCTTATCAAATCTTTTAACCTCTCTGTGACTCAGCTGCCTCATGTGTAAGTTGGCAGCTGTAACAGTAGTACCTGTCCCACTGTGTTGATGTGGGAAAGACATGAGTTATATGTAAGAAGATTAGCACAGCTCCTGGCACTTGGTGTACACTAAAATGCTAACAACTATGACTTGTATCCTCATTTGGCAGGTAAGAGAATCATGGTCGCAGGTCTCACTGCTAGTAAGTGGTAGAGTTAGAACTTCCACGCAGGTTCACCCGTCTCACCACACAATACCACCCCCCCCCAGGTGAGGGAAGGCCCTTGTGCCCAGACTCCACAGATAGCAGAAGCCACCCCAGGCAAGCATTCCTGGGGAGCCAGAGAGGAGGGAACTTGAAAAAGAGCTCAGAGCAATGACCTGGGAGCATGGACTCATTTCTGAAAATCCCTCTTCTTTCAGCTCAGCACAGCAAGCTTCAGCCTGTTCTGAGGCTCTTTGCAGAACTTCATTTGTTAATTTGACAAATGTTTGTTAATCGTCTTTTATGCGTTCGGCACTCATTTAGGTGGTGAGGATACAACTATGAACAAAAGAGACCATGGTTTCTACTCTGATGACATTTATATTCTGGGGGAGACAGACCATAGGTGAAGTTAAATGAGTAAAGTGTGTATGACATTAGACGGTGCACTGAGGTTCTTCCCATTATTCAAGCGAGGGATGGCGTGACTTGGTCCCAGGGTAACAGGGAAGGTGGTGGGAAGTGGTTGGATCCCAAATGTATCTTGAAGGTAGAG